CATATCCACGCGCAAAACAGGCGTGTGAAAGAAAGTCTTCCATCCATCCATATTCCTACAAGAATTCCCAGAGTTTTCAAGGTCGAGGCCGAGAACATTCACGCACGGAAGGTCGTGCGACATTCCGATAATTCCGGGATTTCTAACTGTCGAGCCAAATTCCAAGCGCACTCGCTAAGGCGCGCGAAATTCCCATGCATTTTCAATCAAAAACAAAAAGGAAAGGAACTGACAGATTCTCGCAAGGTACCTTTAATCGGGCACAGACAGGGGGGGGGGGAATCCCGGTGTCGAACTGTACACATCTGGATGCAGAGAAAACACGGGAAAAGGAAGGGGTCCGAAAGATGGCGCAGGTCAGGAAGCTAGTACGTCACATACCAGGACATAAAAGAACTGGAAGTGGACCCAGCGGAATGGAGTTGGCTCATCCCTAGCAGTGAGGGAGGAGCTAGAAAGCTCACAGCGCTCAACGACTACGAAGTCAAAACAGGGTAATATAGGCTAAGAAATCAAACGAAGGATCCGCAACCAATAATCTCAGAGAGATGGAAGAAAAAATTGGGAGGAAATGCAGGATGGGTAAGCAAAATTTCATGGAACTTGTACGCCAGTGTAAGACCGACAAGGATCAGAAGCCTGCAATGGCTTATACTATATTGGGAAGTGCCAGTCAACCAATGGTTGGGCAAAAGAAGGAAACAAGAAGACTTAAGTTCCCACAACAATCAACTTGGTGCAAAATGTGCAGTGAGAACGCTGAAGAATCACTGACACATTGCCTAATACACTGGCAGCGGGCCCAAGAACTCTGGGATATAACTAAGTCTCTGTGGGCCTACCAAATAGGCCAAGACTACCCCTCAAGTACGACGTACCTACTGGCAGGAAGGAAAGAAGAAGAAGACATTGAAGAAGAGGAAGTTGTCCTGGCAGAGCTATGGAGAAAAGTGTGTGATGCGCAACCTCACACCCCGCGCGGCGTAGCGTGCCCTTCGCGCTGATCAGAGTTATTGGGGGTGTGGCCGATGATTTTTGGCCGTAGGGATGGAGTCACCCAATCGAAATGGGGATCTCTGGGTTTCGGGCCGGAGGTTTCCAAGGAATTGAACCGTCGCCGCAGACGTCCCAGGGGAAAGATACGCCTCCTCGCGGGATCAAGGGAGTCCCTCAAACCGGAATGGCCGCAGTGAATCAGAACGAGAAAAAAACACTAGGGGGATTAGGCCAGGGCAGCGGAGGGCGGAGGCCTCCGTTCCTCGTTACGCGGCGATGGGTTAGTCGTACAGGTAGTTGGTTCGAGGCCTTCAGGCCTCCGCGTCGGACTCGTCGAGCCTGCGAGGACCCTCCTGCGCGAGAGGCGATACGGCGAGATGGCCCGTCGGCACCCAAGTTCGAAATTGCGCGGGTCGCGCACCCGCGCCACAGGAGAGCTCGGGAAAACGCGCAGCTCCCTTGTACCCAAGGACCAGCCGTCGCCAGGAGCAGGAGTCTCCTTGGCGACACCAGCGGCAATTGAACCGCGGCTGCCACGTGGCGTGGGCTGCCGACCAGGGTAGCAGCGTTAAGTTGGTGTAGGGCAATATCAGGGTCGGAGAGGCAAATTGATCAATCAGGACAAACCCGTCTCCCCTTATATTACACGCCTGAGTCGGGTTATGCCAACAGATTTGCTCCGTTCGTCTCAGGGCGCGCCGCACGTCCGCATCGCAGTAGACGCTGTCGCCATCTGCGATGAGGAAGGCCGGTAGCGCGCTGGGACGATCGGAGGTGAGGGAAGAACACGGGCCAGACCCCGCGCTCTCAGTCGTCCGAACCAACGCAGTCTCCATACAACAGCTCAGCGTCGCCTCCTTTTCTCTGGGTTAGGGTCTCGAAGAGATGGCGGGATCTAAGTTCTCTTCGTTGGCGGAGGCGTCAACAGCAGGCGATCGTTCGTGCTATTAACGTCACCGGTATAGGGGACAAGAAGTTCAAAATGACACCTGCCAATTCGAGAAGGAAGCAGAGAGAGGGAGAGAGAGAAAGTCGATGTCGGGGCCGCGCTTGCGCGCAGCAGGGCGGGTCAAAGACCCAAGGGCCGTGGAAGGGATGGGAGCGACGGGATCAACCCAATCATACCCCTAGGCAGACGGTTATCACAGATCGCTTCCCTAGTCCCCGCCCGGATGAGTGCGCACCCACATACATCAACATGCATGCAATCAACAACAATCAACAGGACATCCAATCATCCATGGACTTTCACACCACACATGCATACGACAAGGTCCCGCCACTCGGGCCTCACACACACCATGCGTGGACAAAGCAGGAATGGAGATAAAAGCGAGTCCTCCTTGTACCAAAAACGTCTTCATAAAGCTGGCCCAACTAGGCGCAGCCCCAATCCATCAAGACCACCGACAACCATAGCCCTCAAGACCCTGACGCTGTCGGCGTCTGATCTCCACCACCACTCTGTCCCTTCGACTATTACACCCCGAGTCTACCGCTAAGCCCGACCCGTGTCATCACTCCGCCCGTCACATGGGCTCGTCAAGCCTGTTCGGCGTCGCGGACCGTGCGCATAGCTCGCGCAGCATTGCAGCCAAGATCAAAGAGGAGGGGAGGAGTGGGTTGCGATAATTTATAGCGCGGGAGGCGGCGGGAAGCATGGGGTTGTAGATGAAGAGGACAAAGGAAGGGCTGGGTTCGAGAAGGGTCGATGCCGAGAAGTCGTCTGATCCTACGTGATTGGGGTGATCGTTCAAGTGGTGCACGCATTTTCGCGCCAGGCCCTTCCACATTGATCCGAGCATCCCAACTACTCGGCCAATCGTTCTCGGCCAAAGGCGAGGCGGGGATCGAGCTTGCATAAAGGAAGATGAAGAGTCCTTGCATGAAGAAAGCGCGCGCAGCAAGAAAGGAAGATGGCGCGGGGATGCAAAGCAAGAGAAAGAGTTTGTGTGGCGTGCGCAAATTCGAAAAAGAAGCCGCGCATGCAAAAATCCGAAATTCCCCATTTCCTTCCCCACTAAGTCCTAACCGTTTCTTGAAATTCAACGCGCCCGCTATTCGGCCGCGCGAATGTTCATTCACAGATACCAGTTCAAAGAAAAAGAAAGGTCGTTTCAAGAAAAGCGAAAAAAAAAAAAAAAAAAAAAAAAACGTCACTCGTATTCGCACTTCGGGGCTTTCGGAGGGTTTATCCTCAAGGGTACGGGGAGCCGCGAAGTACGGGTCTGGGCTCATCACATCTGTGATGCGCAGGGGGTTCCGAAAAATTAGCAGTCTCCTGACTGCTGATCAGATGTCAAGATTTGATTGATGATCGGGCGACCTCTTCATCGTAAGTTGGCCCAATCATCTCCTAATCTACTTGGATGCATTCTGCATCCTCTGTCGCCTCCCCTCATATTATACATCGATCGGGCGGCCCCTTCATCGTCAGCTGGCCCGATCAGTGAGTAGCTCATTGCTGAACATTGTCCCCCTTGTTTTTTTTTTGTTTTTTTTTTTTCCCACCGCACGTATCATCACGCGAACTATGGATCCAGGAGAAGAAGAAGATGCTAAATAAAGAGAAAGAAATGGATGGGGATGAGGATGGAGACGATTAAAGGAAGTGATCGATTTCAGGATTAAGAGGGGGAGGAAGGGGAGGGAGAAAGGCTGCGAGCGCAGCCAAGTTAGCTGGCACCTCCACTTCGTTGAAGTGGTGCTGTACAAAGGAGGGGTACAAAAAAGCCCCCGGCACGTGCGAGAGAACACGTGGCGCGAGATCGGCGATCGCCCGAATAATCCGTCATCGCAGCGCGCGATTTCTTGGACCCGTCAGCACCAGATGGGTCTCCGTGTACGGCCTCCGCTCCCGCTTAACTGCTGCAAAGACCAGGATATGGTACATAATATTGGGCCGCCCGCCGGTCTCATAGATGAGCGTGTCCACCATCCTCGCCGCTATACACCCGTCGAATGGAGGCTGTAAGAACGCCTCCCATGCCGGATCAGGACGCGGCGCCCCCTCGATGACCTCAAGCCCGATGGTGGCCAGCTCCACCATGTGATCAACGTCGGTCTGATGGACCGTCCAGCTCGTGGGAACTGCTAATATCAATGACCGGGGTATCCCAGGGGGGTTGGCAAAATCGGAACGGTCCTGCGAGGAGGGGGGGTCTGGATGCGGGATATGGAATTCGTCCCAATCCCCCTCCTGCTCCTGATGGCCCGGCTCCATTGCTATTGAGATCGGGGAGGCAGGGCCGCTGAGGTGTCGGCTCCTGATGGCCTCTGGATCTCCGCGGTCCTTCGGCTCCGCAGTCCTCCCCCGGTCAGGGCCCGATGATGAGGGTGGCGCTTCTCTTGGGAACCGGATCGACTCTACGCGCCGGCGCAGGCTGGACAACCTCCTTGACAGGCCCCACCCGACTGCCTTGAGCCTCCGGCGATAGACTTCGTCGCCGCTTCTGGACGGTCTTCTTTCTCGGTGCCTTCAGGGCCGTCGGCTTTGGATATGATGATGGAGGCCGCAGCGGCTTGTCTTTGCGCCCGAAGTCCACCACGGACTCTCCCTCGCGCGCCAGGTAATCAGGTATTACCGCCGCGTTATACGCTCTGCACGGGGCGGAGGCGGTCCACAGTCTGAGCTACAGGTCTTCTTCCTCGGCGGCGATTACCTGCGCGATGGACAGCAGCTCGATGTGGATGAGTTGTAAGAGCCCCGGCCGATTCCTCCCGATCCTCCCAAAAGGATAAAGTGCCACTGTTCCCTCCTTCCGCTCCGGCTTCGGCTTGGCAATTACGTAGTATACTTACAGAAATTCGTCGATGTTATGAACTTCGTACTCCACGAAGAACGTAAACATGCTCAGCACCACCGATGAATACAGCGCCCGATGCATCTCCCACGAGTCCTCGTCAGCGGGCGGCAACTGCTCAACGTCCGTCAGCTCCACCAGGTACTCGGGGAAGTTGCGCATGGGATAGGGGAGCTGCGTCAGTTGGTAAGGGAGGGTAGTGTAAGAGAAGAAGGGAGGCATTTAGAGAGAAGGGGGAGGGACAACTTGGATGTTGAGGGGCTCGGCGGGAGGGAGGAGCGCGGGGAGCTGCGACACCAATGCAAGTGCTCAACGACGATCGGCAGCTGCGCTTCGACATTCAGCAGGTGAACGTGTCAGCACCCAGCATTGCTGACTTGGCGGTGTACTCGCTCCTTGCACAGCGTGTGACGTACACGGGCGTCTATGTGGACATATCGCCAGTGCCTGGTCAGGAGTCCACGCGAGTGTTCATCGAGTTCCGAGCCATCCAGGTAGCGACGAACTTCGTGCACAGCGTTGCTACCTTCACCAGGGATTTAACCATCTTGCCAGAGCACGATCGGGAGCCAACGTACAGGTTCTTGCGCGAATACGCTCTCCAGGTGGCTAGATCGGTGGCGCAAGTGCAGGCGAGGGGCACCCATCGCTTCACCACATACGAAGGACTTCTGCGGTGGACGAAGCACTTGCATTGGTGCCGCAGCTCCCCTCGCTCCTCCCTCCCGCCGAGCCCCTCAACATCCAAGTTGTCCCTCCCTCTAAATGCCTCCCTTCTTCTCTTACACTACCCTCCCTTACCAACTGACGCAGCTCCCCTATCCCATGCGCAACTTCCCCGAGTACCTGGTGGAGCTGACGGACGTTGAGCAGTTGTCGCCCTCTGACGAGGACGCGTGGGAGCTGCATCGGGTGCTGTATTCATCGGTGGTGCTGGGCATGTTTACGTTCTTCGTGGAGTACGAAGTTCATAACATCGGCGAATTTCTAGCTTCGGCTTGGCAATTACGTAGTATACGTATAGAAATTCTACCATCGGATCCGTATCTTCAGTGGAGTGCATGCTTGGAAGAGCCTGGGGACGAAGACTCTCTACCATCGCGGCAGGGGTATCTGAAGCCATACGGCCTCGTCAATCACGCTTTCTATCCGAAGGCGGGGGAGGTGGTGATAGACGAAGAGGAAGGTGACGACGACGAGGAAACATCGGAAGAGGGAAGCTATAGCAAGTATAGCGAGGGCGAGCAGAGCGAAGAAGAAGAAGAGGAAGAAGACACCGGGTCTGAGTGGGAAGCCTTGTCGGAGGAAGCGACGCGTACTGGCACGGAGGCGGAAGATCCTGAGGCAGCGCGCAAGCGGGAAGAAATTACCACCGGAAAACGCCAGCTGGAGTTTGCCAGCGGAGCAAGTCTGCGCTTCGGTGACGATCCAACCAGGGATCCGGAGCCGCCGAAGCCCGAAGATGGCGACCAAGCAGCCGCCACCCCAAGCACCTCACGGCGGAGACGGAGTCGATCCTCCTCCCCTTCCAGCCCCACCCGTCCCCCAGTTCGTCCACGTACCGATGCGGGGGATAGGCCTTCGTCCCCGGTCACTATCCCGCCGTCCCCTTGATTACCTCACCCTCGAGCATATCCACACCCCTGTCACCTTCCCCCGCCACCCCTTCCCTCCCCATCGCTTCCGTGATTTCTACTCTACGCGCCTAATCGCTACCTTCTACCCCCACCGCTCCCTTCAGCCCGCTGCCCCCACGTTCTGTTTGCATATCCTGTTGTTCAGCGCTGCGTGGGAGCAGTGCTACTGCGTAGCCATGGGGACGATCCCCGCTTGTCGCCACTACGATTTCTTTCGCGCAGCGCTCTTCCGCACCCTCTCCTCCCTCTACCGCGACTACCTCGCCTCTCTCCCTCATAGCGGCGATTGCTTCCCTCATTTTCACCGGATCATTCGCTATGAGGAACTTCCAGTGACAGTAGAAGGATTGAATCGCTACCTACCCCCACTTCCTCCCCGTCGTCCCCGTGAACTTCCCACCATGTACCGCCTCTACTGGCCCATTCCAACAAGGCGGTAAAACCCAATCACATGACTATTCCCCCCCCCCCCCCCCCTTCTCTCCCTTCACCCAATCGACAAAGGAAAACGGCACGAATCAGTACGCTTCGCGAAGATCACGCCATCGACGACGACATCAACCTACGCTCTGATTCGACGGGCCGCGACGAGCTGGGGTGCAGAGCACACGGAGAACCAGCGGACGATGACGGCGTCACCTAGACGACCTCCGACAATTCCAGCAGCACGAGCCAGTAGACTCACGAAGAGCTTGCAATTGAAGTTGGCGTCAACATGAACTCTGGCTCGATTATCTGCTGATACGCTTGGTTCCTCATGCATCACTCTTCCCCCTCTTTCCTTCTCAGCCGTGACATGCAATCAGGAGATCGCATAATTTTGGAACCCCCTGCACGTCACATATGTGACGCACTATTCCCCGAACCCATGCCATCTTTCGTACCCCTTTGGTTTGAATTTTTCTTGTATCATACCGACCCTACAAGCACCTCGTTTGTTTTCTTGATTTCGGGTGCTGCGTTTTGGGCCCCCATCTTCCGTAAGCTTTTGTGATTCTTCGGTTCTGCTTTTTCTTTTGCAAATCGGGAAATACATAGGAATTTACGCGCGCCTTAGCGAGCGCACTGGGAATTGGGCCCGGCAGTTGGGAATTCCGGGATAAGCGGAACTTCGACGTGTCCTTTTTGTGTGTGAATGTTCTCGGTCCCGTTGGGGAAAACTCTCGGAATTTTGAGAGGATACGAATAGGCGTAGGACTTTCTTTTCCCGCGTCGTCCTTTTCGCGCGCGGATATGGTGATTTCAATTTGGAATTGGTTTAGGACATAGGCAAGCTGTAACTGTTTCGGTGCCTTTTTCTTTTTGTTGACGGCGCCACGCATGCGATGCTTTCTTCTTCCCGCCCTCCCCTTGCTCTGTTTCCCGCATCGTTCTCTCCCGCACTCTTTCCTCCTTCCCCCTTCTCATCCTCCCTTCTCGCAATTGTTTTCCCTCTCTCTCTCTCCCGCTCTGATCGGTCGCGCGCCCATTTTTCCTTTCTTGATCATCTGAATCTTGGACCCGTCTTGCGCTACTTCTCGCGCCCTTTTTTCCTTTCGCCCTCCGAGTGTGAATCGGAAGCCCAGTCGATCCTTCGATTTACTCTCGCCCACCAATCAGACGCGTGGTACGATAGGATCTGCCTATTGCGCAACGAATCTGATTGGCAAAGCTCAGAGTCCCGAAGGATCAACATGGCTTCCGTAGCGCGCTCCTCGCCAAGTCTTCTCCTCCTGCTTCTTTTCTTACACTTTGATTTTCCCCCTGCCTTCTCTCTCCCTTGCCCCCCTTCTCGCCACTATAAATTTCGCAAACGCGCCCGCAAATCTCTCTTACGTTCTCGACTCCCAAGCCAGCTTCCGGGAAGCAGTGGCTAGGCAGAGTGTTTGGTGCGAGTCGRAAAGTCCTGTCGGGCTGACGATAGGCTGGCCGGTTGCGCGCTTGATCGTCACGACGGACTGTGGGATCTGGGCGAACCGCGTCGAGTTTACGTCGACGGGGTGACAATCACAGTGGTGGGAGTTAGCACGCGACGGCCGGGATCGTCGGTGCGGGTATGAGTATCGATGATTGAAGTTGAATGGGTGGTTGGCCCGGGGCCATATTGGAATTCACGGCGAATGCGCCTTTGTTGTTGCGGATCTTTATCTCTGCCGTGAGTGTGCGGCGGCAACGCCGAGCTTCCTCTTTTTGAATCTTGTCCTCTCCTATCTCGACATTCCTCCCTCATCTCTCTCTCTCTCTCTCTCTCTCTCTCTCTCTCTCTCTCTCTCTCTCTCTCTCTCTCTCTCTCTCTTCTATCTTTGAAGGACGATGTGTCTTGATGCTTGTCCCTCTCATGAATGGGAATGAATTTGTGTGCTCTCCTGTGTGAAGGGACTTCTTTCGGAACTCTTCCATTAGTTTCCTAGGTAATCCCCTGGTGTCGAGGAATTGATCCTCTTGTCTTGTGAACGGTGGATGCGTGTGTACAATTCCCTCGGTTGATTTCCGACCTGTGTACCCCTGTCATTTTCGCACCTTTCACAGTGAATGTATGTATGGAGATGTTTGTCGTTTTTGTGTTGATTAGACGCAGCACTCGGCGGGATTTTGTTCGAGAATGCAAGAGTGTTTAGATCTATAGTTTTGAATGCACTGCGCATGCCATCTGCCTTATGCTGCACGACATCTGCAACCGATCTACAGGGCAGCCTCGAGAAACAAGGCGCCTGGGATCAACGCCGCGGTGGCTTACTAAACCTGAGT